TGTTATCTCAGATTTTCCAGCATCTGCAGTTCCTACTATCTCTGCCAGGAGCATGAAGTAGTTACAACTTTCCCCTTTACTACCAGAAACTCAGGACAGAAGTAAAGTCACCATAGCCTACTCTGTCATTAGACAGAGACAACTGGTGGTGGTTTAACCTGAGGGACACCTTCCCTTCGACAAGGGGAGATATTGAGAAGGAGAGTCCTTCATGGCAACCTCAGTCAATGACAGGAATTGAACCCAACGCATCTCTGCGTTGGGGAAAAAAAATCATCTGTCCAGTCAACTGATCTAAACCAAACACCAATCAACAGGATTAATAAGCAATGTGATTTAACCCATTACAGTGTCCTCAAATGAGCACCACTACATTAAAGAGTTTGCATTTAAATAGCACCTCTAATGTAACAAAGTGTCCCAACATGCTTCGTACCAACATTATCAAGTTAAATGTGACTTTGAGTTGTACAAGAAGACATTAGCGCAGGTGACCAGGAGTTTAGTCAGAGAGATAAGTTTTAAGAGGAAAGAGAGGTAGCAAGGTGGAGAACTCTACAGAGGGAATTCCTGAGTTTGTAGCCTGGGCATCTGAAGGCATGGTCATCAATACAGGAACAATTGAAATCAGAGACACTCAGCAGCCAGATTATAAAGAATGCAAATATCTTAGAAAGTTGTAGAGCAGGAGGATATTGCAGAGATGTGGAGGTATGATACTATAGAAAGATTTGAAAAGAAGGATGAGTATTTAAAAAGAAACCAGCAAAATAATTTCCACAATTACATTGTTAACCTATATATGCTATAAGTTTAATTATGAGCTTTAAGGAAATGTAGCCTTCTCACTATACTTGTAGTTCAGTATTTTAGATGTCAACCACACTCTAGAACCAAAGAAAATTATAATATTCACCATAACTCTTCTTAACAACACAACAACTCAGTTTGAAATGGGAAGACAATTTTGTGATTTAACAGCTATGTGTTGATCTAGTGTATTCCCCTGGGTTGCCGAGTGATCTAACACTTATGTAATGAATGCTTTCCTCTGCATGGTTCAGGAATAACCAAGTGTGCCTGCCAACTGCAAGTCATTGCAGTTCTGTATATACAATGGTTAAGCGACAAAATGATATGACTTAAAGCTCTTAATTGTCTTACGGATGCAGAAGAAAGTCCATACTGGGGCGTGCCTGATACTTACCAGAATCAGTTAAGTAACTGTTTAGTCATGCACAGTCAGTTTAAATCATGTTAATCAGCAAATCATGTTATGTAGTCTGAGGTTGAGTTTAAGGACATGGGGATTGCTAGACAAAGGAAACAGCAAGATTCACCACTCTATCATCTTGACAATCGTGCACTGTGATGATAATGGAGTTACTGACCTATTCTAGTATTCAATCACCATCAGTTACCAATGGGCATGATGAACAGCAAATCCCAAATAGACAAAAATATGAGAATGTTTAACCCCTTCTTTTAAATTTAATGTTAGAAAAGCATGCTGAGAATTGCTTGGTAATACAGCATTTTCCAGTCGTTATTGAAATCCAACGATTTGTAAAATACAGAGATATCTTTTCATTGATATAAATCAGATTTGTACATACTGAATGGTGGGACCAAAAATGCTCATAAATATTGGTAAATGAAAGATTATTTTTAGAAGGGAGTTACCCTGTTTCTCTGGTGTTTCCTCTGTTCACTTACTGAGGGAATAGACTGGCAGGAGTTTTAATTCATGAGGCATCAGAAAATAATGCAACATAATTAGAATGTTAAAAATAGGAGTCAGAGGGAAGTAGCAGAAAAACTTAGGGTAGGAAGGTTTAACAGGACAAATAGTAGTTTAATGGTTTATATGATTTGGCATTCATAAAAACAACATTTTGTATTGATATAGCACCTTCAATGTAGTAAAGTTGCCATGGTTCAGGAAGACCAGACGTCTGTTCTTTCATTAGAGATGACTGATGGTAGTGATTAACCTGAGAGGTCACCATGCCTCAGGCAAGGGCAGAGATTGAGAGTGAGGAACTTTCATAGTTCCTCATCTGGCATGTATAATGTTTCCAGGCGTTTAAGAGGAGTATTATCAGATTAAATATGACACAGCCATATTATGAGAGATAAGGCATTATTCATTCATGTTATTCACTTGCGGGATGTGGGCACTGCTGTCTGGGCCAGAGTTTATTGCCCATCACTAGTTGCCCTTGAGAAGGTGGTGGTGAGCTCCCTTCTTGAACCACTGCAGTCCTTGTGCTGTATGAGCCCTACAATGCCCCTAAGGAGGGAATTCCAGAACTTTGACCCAGCAACAGTGAAGGAGCAACAATATATTTCCAAGTAAGGATGATGAGTGCCTCAGTGGGGAACTATGAAATATGGCTCACAACTTAGAGGTGAAGAGCGGTAGAGATGCAGAGAATTTTAATATTAATGCTAAGATCAATGTTATAATACCAAATTTAGTTCTAGTGACAATTCTAATTTAGATATTTATTTCACCATCACAGCATAAAATAATGCTAAGTATTAAACAATAACAAAATTGAAACAGAAGATGCTGGGAAACACTCAGCAGGTCAGGCAACATCTATGGAAAGAGAAACAGCATTAACCTTTCGGGTGAATAACTCTTCTTCAGTTGATGAACAACAATCTGTTGTGAAAACTGAAGTAGTTGGACCATTAATTCAGTGACATTAAATAACAGCCCACTCGATTACCCTATGATATCATCAGAAACATTTGCTTTATTTCCTTTATTCATTCACGGGATGAGGGCGTCGCTGGCCAGGCAGCATTTATTGCCCACCCCTAATTGCCCAGAGGGCAGTTGATAGTCAATCACATTACTGTGGGTCTGGAGTCCCATGTAGACCAGACAAGGTAAGGATGGCAGTTTCCTTCCCTAAAGGTCGTTAGTGAACGAGATGGATTTTTCCCAACAATTGGCATTGGATTCATGGTCATCATTGGACTCTTAATTCCAGATATTTATTGAATTCAAATTCCACTATCTGCCAATGCAGGATTTGAACCCCAGTCCCCAGAACATATCTGGTCTCTGAATTGACAGTCTAGCGATAATACCACAAGGCCATCGCCTCCCATTTTGGTAGGTATTACAAAATGTTGCACTATTGTACATCATTATATGTTATGGTACATATGTGGATGATTACATTTGTCCTTAAACTCATACCATTTCTCTCTGCTTTTACACAAACCACCAAGACTTTTCCTAACGCTCGGAATAATCTTTGGAATTCTGACGGTGATGTTTCTCGGGCTTGTGATACTAGCTGTCAAAAAAATAAGAAAGCACAAAGATGATGGTAAGGTCTAAAGTAAAAACAATTTTTATACCTCTCAAACAAAAAATGTATCTTGACTTGGAACGTGTTTTAATGATTGTCTTGATTTACTATTGAGATTGTACCTACATCTGCATTTCAACAGAACGTACATTTTGTTAGGACAGAAATCTCCTTGTATTTACACTTCAACCTGGCACCAAGTTCAGTGAAGCACTGAGCCAAGAATGACGGTACTTCCTTTATCTCTTTGGAAGAATAGGAACTCTGTTGCAATGCCCATTCAGTACAATATAATGGTGACAGGATTGCCAGTAACATTGTGGCAATTTGTGTGTAGTGCATAGCAACATGTTTTGTTTCTTGCTGATAATTCTAAAATGTTTGGGAGTCATTTTAGCAATACAAAAGGTGATTTTATTTCTTAATTAAAAGGACCACTTGTTTGCATTTTCTTTATTTGTTGTGTACTAGGAAGCAAAACCACGGTCCAGTTTGGTACTGGATAAAGACTGAAACAATTATAATTTCTCAAACAAGTATGAAAAGCCAGATGTATGAATGAGCTATCAAATGACCCTTTTGTTAATAGAACTAATCATTATTTAGTCAGCTGATAGATAATCACATGCAGAATTGAAATTAATTTACCCAATTGTTATAGCATCAAGTTAGATTCATTTAAAATAATTGAATAAGGTAGATATTCCTCAATCTCAAAGGTGTATAGAAAACAAAAATAAATTCTGTTTCTAAAACTTCCTCGGAGCATCCTGAGATACTTCCCAACCATTGAATTACTTATAAAATGTTGTTTATTATGGTTAAGCAGGGCAAGGTATGCAGCAAAGTCCTGCAAACTGTAAGTGAAACAAATAACCAGGTAATGGTGATACTTATTAAAGAAGTCAGAGCACAAGTGTAAATCACGCCATAATGGTAATCTGTTGATGACAAAGTGCTGGAGTAACTCAGCAGATCTGGAAGTATCTGTGAAGAAAAAAACAGAGTTAATAATTTGATTCCAACATTACTTTTCATCAGAACTGAAACCATTACAAAGAAAAGTCATTCTAGACTCGAAATATTAACTCTGTTTCTATCTCCACAGATGCTTCTAGACCTGTTGAGTTTGCCCAGCACATTCTGATCGTTCAGATCTGTAGCATCCACAGTATTTTGCTTTTATGTTAATGTATTGATAGCACTAGCTCAGCCTTTGAGTTTAATTATTTAACGCTCCAGGTGAAGATTTAGATTCGTGCAAGGTGAAATTTAGAGGTTTGCGGTTGATTAAGGACGTTATATTATGACAAATATTCTTCCAACCATTGGAAAGGCTTTATTAAAAACAACATCTTAATCCATCAATTATATTTACCAAGGAAACAGTTGAGAGAAGATTGAAACATGACATAAAATTTCAGAAATAACCAAATGAAACTACAAATAAGTGATAGTTCATCTTACACTGATTCCTTGTTCTGGCTATCAAAATGAAGGTGAGATTGTATTAAGGTGGCCATGAGATGGCAACAACTGATTTAGATCAGCTTTGTAGCATGCCTGCGAGAAGCTGGTAGAAGTTCATAAAATGAAGCCTACAGTTTAATTTATGATGAGCTTGTGTGTTGTAAGGTCTGTATTTATGTCTGTCAGTTTTTTCTTGGGAGTTTGAAGTCTATAAGCAGTTTTTTCTTGGTTCACTGCATTTTGTACGAGCTATCCAATGGTTCAGATGAATGGCCAACTCCCCAGTGTAATTCAATAGGGGCAATATTGAAGTATTGAGTGAGATCAAGTATCGTTTACAGATGTGAAAAGAAATATCTACTTTTCCAATGAGAGGGACATAAAGCAAAGGGTTAGAAGCAGGCAGAAAGACAGCACGATAATTGTTTAATCATGTTTTATGTCGATCGTACTAACTGCACATTGAAATAGAACAGAATACAATAGAATAGCCTTTTTGTCATAGCAGACCGTAGCATACCAGGCTGCGGCTATCTGTACATGCACAATCCATGAACCTGTTTGTTCCTTAATACTAAGGAAGGCTCTTCAATTCCTTGTGTACTATAACACCCATTATTTATGTCTGTATATACTAGGATCTCAAATACACCTCTCTAGTGTAGTGCTTAGGTCTCCCTCTTCACATACTCATTCTAGCCTGGTGCCTTCAATCTCATTATTTCTCAACTCCCCAAGTTTCTCTACTTGATCTATTTTATTCCAGTGGTTTAGTTTTTAGTTATTTACATTGCCTTTGCAATCATCAACATTATTAATCATTTTCACTGTAACCACATCTTTCCCCACCCTCTCAAGGTCCAAATCTCACAGAACGAGACAATCTGGAACTCTCAGTAGAGATCCCAATCTTCTTTTCCTGAGTTCAACACTAGGGTGATGGTGCTGGACCATGTCTGTAATAGTTTTACCGCTCTGTACCCTCTCTGAAGCATAGGTGTACGTCCCACAGCTTGGAATAACTATACTCTACCCACTAGCATGGTTAACTGGTCTGAGTGAACACTTGGAATTTTCCTCATTACTGTGAAGAATTCTAATTCTGTGGTTTAGCACTTCAGAGTACTGCCAGTTCATAAATAGGCTTTGAGATCCTCCAAATTGCTTTTTATTGCTCTTTGGAGTCTTCCCACGCTGTTGCCCTATAATTAAGTCCTCTGAGGTCTCTTCCCTGCCTTCAGACTCTTCGATTTTCTGTTGCATCTCTTGGAAACTGTTTTAACTTTGGATCCTGGCTCTGGAGGTCTATTCTCCTGCTGTCACTTTGCCTTATGGTGGGATTTCAAGTGAACACAATTACTTGCATATTGAGATACTGTTCTGGAGTATCTAAGACTGTGGATGTCTGCACGTTTGCAGTCTGAGTGACAAACGACTGCACCTCCCAGTCGCGAACCACTTCAACTCCCCCTCCCACTCCTTGGACGACATGTCCAACGTGGGCCTCCTTCAGTGCCACAACGATGCCACCCAAAGGTTGCAGGAACAGCACCTCATATTTCGCTTGGGAACCCTGCAGCCCAATGGTATCAATGTGGACTTCACAAGCTTCACAATCTCCCCTCCCCCGACCGCATTCCAAAACCAGCCCAGCTCGTTCCCGCCTCCCTAACCTGTTTGTCCTTTCTCCCACCTATCCACTCCTCCCACCTCAAGCCCCACCCCCGCCTCCTACCTACCAACCTCATCCCCGCCCCCTTGACCTATCCATCTTCCCTGGGCTGCCCAACCCCCTCCCTAACTCCCCACCTACACTCACTTTTACTGGCTCCATCCCTGCCTCCTTGACCTGTCCGTCTCCTCTCCACCTATCTGCTCCTTTATCCATCTTCCATCCGCCTCCCCCTCTCTCTCGCTTTATTTCAGAATCCCCTTCCCCTCCCCCATTTCTGAAGAAGGGAGCAGACCCGAAACGTCAGCTTTCCTGCTCCTCTGATTCTGCTTGGCCTGCTTTGTTCATCCAGCTCTACACTTTGTTATCTGCAGTCTCTGAGGTTGTCTGGTCTTGTCTCTACTCAGGGCTCTGCAACTCCTTATTTTCTGTCACACTCCTTTGTTTACATATACACATAGCATGTTCTCAAATATAGCTCTCTTTACATGCTCATTCATCATTCTTACTGATGTCAGAGACATTTGATCAGTGATATCATCTTGATTTACACAAGTCTCAAGATGCCAAAACAACAGCGAGGGGAAAGTGTGAGACAGCCTCAAGGTGAAAGGCAAAGGACACAAAGCAAACAAAATGAGAGTGGAGAAACAGAAATAATTAAGACTGTGGAAAATATTGCACTTGTGCAAGACTAGTTTCTTTCAATGGCACAATACCTGTATACGATTTATGCACAATTGTGTTAACATCGAACAAAGCTACGCAGTAACATCCAGCCTGCTGCACAGCCACATACATACATGATTTTAGAGGTAACATGCACGAGAGAAAAACATTTCTACTCACCAACCATATGTAGCAAGGAGTGATGCAGAGTTGTCACCCATTTCAGAGATCATGTACTTTCCATTTCTATTGATTCCAGTGGAGTTGGAAATTGGTTAATTTCGATAACAGAACTAATCTTTCCAATGGGAACGTTTTAAATTTAGCCTTGGAATATGTGCTGATAGAAAAACTAATATTTAAGAGAAATATAATCTGTTAATGCAAACGGGAAAAAAAAATTAAACACTTTACCAAGAGCTAAATACAAAATGAATTGTATTTAGTTTTATATTAATGGAAAGTGATTGAACAGTGAAGCAATACCAGGATGTACCATAAGATTCAATACAACTGCCTGACATAGCTTGGAAATGTTTTACCTAACAAGTAACTAATGCAAACCAGTTTTAATTTTCCAGTTTTCTTACGTAATTAATTATGAGATGATGTTTTCATGAAATTTTTCTGCAACTTATGTAGTACTTACCCGTTGCTTTTCCAAAATTGCCTCAATACTCTTGTTTATCCCAGTGTTTTGTCTAATGTTGAATTGGGAAATCGGAACGTGCAATTTAGTATTAAGAAGCAGCTACGGTTATAAATTGAAAACGGTTCTTCCTTCCATTTTATTCATGACCTTTATGCTTGCTTTTTTTTTAGATAGCAGAGAGAAGGAATCAACAATAGAAAATTCTATCCCAAAGTCAAACTCTGTGGTAAGACTGCAACTTGTTGACAATGCCGTGTTTTTTAATACTTGTGGAACCCACTGGCCTATGAAGTGATGTGTGGACACGATGGATATGCATGCTTTATGCATTCATCTGAAGATCCTTCGAGCCAGGTCTTTCGGAAGTCATGCTTAGAAATGTTTCTGCACACAGTGGTTGGGGGAAATTTGGAAATTTCAGCCTGTGGCGTTTAATGCTAGTTCAATTGTTTGTACAAAATATGAAATGTTGCTATGTTTTTGTTGATCAAAGGAATGGAAGGAGCGACAGCAATGTTGAGTACACAGGGAAAGGTTGCAGATCTAGGGCTGAACTTTACACTCCTCAGCCGATGGGTTTTAATGTACAGGAGTGTAGCCCTTGCCCCCACCATGGTTTTACCAGTAACAGGGAAAGCATCACACAAGTTGCCAGCCCAGCAGCTGTTCCCATATTAAATGAAAGATATGGTTTCATTAGAGGCAATTGAAAGAAGGTTCACTAGGATGATACCTGGTATGGAGGGATTTTCACATGAGCAAAGGCTAAATAACTTGTGACTCTACTTACTGGTGATCTCATTGAAACATATAGGATTCTAAGGGGCTTGACAGGGTAAATGCTGAGAGGATGTTTCTCCTCATCATAGACTCTGTACTGAGGTGGTAGAGGCCAATTGGCCCATCAAGTCTGCACTGGCCATCCAAAGAGCATCCCACTCAGACCAACACCACCCACCCTATCCCTGTACCCCATATTTGCCATGGCTATTCCACCTAGCCTGCACATCCCTGGACACTATGGACAATTTAGCATGGCCAAACCACCCTAACCTGCATATCTTTGGACTGTGGGAGGAGACTGGAACACCCCGGTGGAAACCCCCACAGATGCGGGAGAACATGCAAACTCCACACAGTTAACCAAGCCTGGGGTTGCACCCAGGTTTTATAACACTGTGAGGAAACAGTGATAACCACTGTGCTACTACCAAGGGGCATAGTTTCAGAATAAAGGGGTGAAAATTTAAGACTGAATGGGAAGGAATTTCTTCTAGAGGATTGAGAGTCTTTGGAACTCCTTGGCACAGAGATCAGTGGGGGCATAGTCCTTGTGTATATTTAAGGCTGAAGTAGATTCTTGATGAGTCAGGGAATCAAGGGTTATGGAAAAATGGCAGGAAAGTGGACATGAGGAATGTTAAATCAGCCATGATCCCATCGAATGTTGAAGCAGGTTTGAATGGCCTGTTCCTATTCTTCATGGTCTTAATAGAGGACTTTAAATGCACAACTAGTAAAATTATGGTGCAGGCAAAGCAGGAGGCTCAAGGGAGAAAAAAGCAGTTAAAACAATTAATACTGCCTGGAGTTAACTGAGTGGGAGAGGTGCACGCCAGTGACCAGCTGGCATTTTGCACCTGACTAGGTGGTAGCAGATGGGAGGTATCCCTCAAGTAAAAGTGAAATGCTTCAGATGCCAGAAATCTGAAACAAACAAAGAATGCTGGACAAACTCAGCCAGTCTGGCAGCATCTGTGGAGAGAGAATAGAGTTGATGGTTTGAGTGTGGTACGGCTCCTCCTCAGGAGTGGGCATCCCTCCTAGTGCTGCTTCAGGCCTTTCTCTGACACTTTTCTGGGTCACAAGCTGCTGAAACCTCCTGGACATACATATTGGCAAATATTAAGAGGATAATATAACCACTGCTTGTCAACTTACTCCCTTGACATAGAGTCCTGTGGGTGGAATGGTGGTTCATAAAAATAGTGGAAAACTCTCTCTCTCTTCCCTACCTTCCACATTTGGGAGAACTCTCAGCTTCAAGCTTCCTCCCTTTTATTTCTGATTGCACCATCTGTTGTGGAAGTTTCCAAGCTAGTCCTGATCTAAGTTTTGAAGCCTAGGCTCTTCTTAGTTGGAAACTAAGATATATGCCCTGTAGCACGTGCAACCAGGTCAATCGCTAAGATATTTTTTATGGAGTCGAACTAAAACGAGGCCTTTCAACCTATCAAGTTCTCATATCTTAAACTGTGAAGGAAGTTGTGCCAATTATAGTCATTTTAATCAAATCTTTGGAGCATGTGAGTCAGGAGGGCAGAAACAGGACATGAGACAGCTTTGGCAAGTAGAGTTAAGGAGAATCCAAAGAGATTCTAGAACTACATTAAGAGCAAGAGTAACTAGAGAGAGAATAGAGCCCCATCAATGTGGCCTTCTATGTGTGGAGCCACAGGTGGTGGGTGAGACATTAAACCAATATTTTGCTTCAGTATTTAGCGTGGAGCAGCACATGGAAGTTACAGAACTTGGAGAAATAAATAGAGATATCTTGAAAAGAGCTCATCTTACAGAAGAGGTGCTGGAGGTCTTAAGGTGCATAAAAGTAGATAAATCCCCATGAACTGATCAGTTCCAGGACTTTGTGAGAAGCTAGAGATGAGATATTTGTATCATCGATACGCGCAGATGAGGTACCGGAAGTCTCGAGGTTGGCTAATGCAGTGCTATGATTTAAGAAAGGCTGGAAGGAAAAGCCAGGGAACAATAGACTGGTGAGCTTGACATCAGTGGTGGGTAAGTTGTTGGAGGCAATTCTGAGGGATAGGATTTATATGCATTTGGAAAGGCAAGAACTGATTAGGGAGAATCATTGTTTTGTTTGTGGGAAATCATGTCTCATTAACTTGATTGAGTTTTTCAGAGAGGTGGGCAAAGAAGATTGAAGAAGACAAAGCAGTAGATGTTGTCTACATGGACATCGGCAAATGTTCAAGGCATGGTAGACTGGTTAGCAAGGTTAGATCACATGGGATCCTGGAGGTACTAACCAATTGGATGCACAATTGGCCTGAAATTAGGCGACCAAGGGTGGTGATGGAGGGTGCTTTTTGGACTGGAGGCTTGTGACCAGTAGTGAGCCATAGGGATCAATGCTGGATTCACTGATTTTTGTCATTAATGTATTTGATTTAGATGAGAATATAGGAGGTATGGATCGTAAGTTTGCAGATGATACTCAAATAGGTCATGTAGTAGACAGTGAAAAAGGCTATCTCGGAGTACAATTGGGACCTTGATCAGACAGGCCAATAAGCTGAGGAGTGGCAGATGGAGCTTAATTTAGATAAATATGAGGTATTGCATTTTGATAAGGCAAACCTAGGCACTACTTATACAGTTAATGGTAGGGCCCTGGGAGTGTTGCCAAACAAAGAGACCTAGGGGTGCAGGTGTATTGTTCCTTGAAAGTGGTGGTGAAGCAATTGTTTGGTACATTGGTCATATTATTGTGTAGAGGAGTTGGGATGTAATTTTGCAGCTGTACAGAACATTGGTGAGGCCATTTTTTGAATACCTCATACTATTCTAGTTGCCCTTCTATAGGAAGGATGTTGTTAAACTTGCGAGGGTGCGAAAAAGGTTTGCAAGGATGTTGTCAGAACTGGAGGGTTTGAGTTATAGGGAGAGGCTGAATAGGCTGAAGCTATTTTCCCTGGAGTGTCAGAGGCTGAGGGGTTACCTTAGAGATTTATAGAATCATGAGGGGCACGGATAGGGCAATTAGCAGAGGTCTCTTTCCTAGGGTGGGGAGTCCAAACCTAGAGGACATAAGTTTAAGGTGAGAAGGGAAGAGATTTAAAAAGGACCTAAGGGGTAACATTTTCATGCAGAGGGTGATGCGTGTATGGAACAAGCTGTCAGAGAAAGTACAAATACAATACTTAAATTGTATCTGGATGAGTATGCGAATAGGAAGGGCTTAGAGGGATATGGGCTAAATGCTGGCAAATGGGACTAGATCAGATTGAAATGTTTGGTCGGCGCCAACAAGTCGAACCAAAGAGTAGGTTCTTTATCCATGCTGTATAAAATCTATGACTCTATGACTTGAACTCTGACTCCTAGTTCAGAGGCTGGGTACTAACAAAGTATCACCAGATCCCAATGTAGGAGAGTAACCCATCCTTTCCTCATACGTGGATGTCCAAGTTTCAAAAAGGTTTCTGACCGGTCTTTGAACCAGGGACCCTCCACGTGCAGAGTGACCATGATGACCCCTTGCCCAGGGTCCCTTGAGTATTAAAAGTAACACTGGAATGGTTAATACTCTTCTCAGAAACAACGTTAATAATTAACACAGGGAGCAGTTTCCCTGCTTAGTTACTGATAGAGTTTTACAGCGAGTATATTTTCTAAAATAGAAGAGATCACTTTACACCTGACCTTTCTATTCATGTGCTTTTATAATGAATTGACTCATCCCTTTGTTTTCCTCAACCATATCATAAACTCTTTATCTTCAGTTGTCAAAGGAGTTGGAAGAAGGAGTTACATATGCCGCTGTGATGATTCAGCCCAATAATCATCCTCAGGACGATTCTGCTGCTCTCGAGAAGCTGAGAACCTCCAACAGTCAGGAAGCAATCAAGCCAGCTGTTGCCGAGCCTCCTGCTTCAGAACCAACAGAGTATTCAACAGTTGTATTCAAAAAGTAATGTTCTTCCATCAAAGCGTCTGCAAGCTACCTTCCACCCATTTTCTGAAGAGTGATATTCCTGTAAATTGTAAATTGTTCCATATAGGGTGTGAGTATAAGTTGCCTCCTCATGTCCAGCTAGTCCATATTGGAAAAATCCCAGGCAGTATTCCTGAATTTTTCTGATATTTGCCAATGGCGTGAATCCTTGCTGTCAGGTGTCCTTTTTTTGTCTCGCTGTCTACCCTATTTCCTCAAGTCGGAGGAATGGTGGGAACAGGTTTTGGGGGATGTGGGAAGCCAGCTAGTAGGTGAGTTGTTGGCCAGGGCAAGGAAGCAGAATATTAAATTTAGAATTGGGAATTTCTGAGCTAATGCTTTTTATTTAGCTCTTTTCTTTAGTTCCTTTTGAAGGAATCAGTTCTTTAAATGAAGTGGGGGGTGGGGTGGGAATATGGAATTATATCTTCCAAAAGGGTATTGAGGTAAACGTTAATCTAAACACTCATAATTGAGACTGACAGATTTTTATGCGGAACAGTTATAAGTTTTAATTTTACCCTGACTTATGGGTAGGCAAATGAATATCCTTTGAAATGTTTAACAATTTAGTTTAAAAAGCATTGTTGTGAACTGGCAATGAACATGGAGAATCAGGTTAGTTCCTTATACTGTTTTAATCAAAGGAAGAATGGGAAGTTGATGGAGCTAAGATACAGATCAGCCATGACTCAGTTGAATGGCACAGCAGGTTAGGGGGCTGAATGGCCTATCATGTTCCCCTGAACATATAACCTGCGACATTATACTCAGCATTACTGCCTGCTGAACTTGCCAGCAATGTTCCCTCTAAAGTGTTCAAGCACATGGCTGCAGAGAAATGTCAAAGGTCTGCACACAACGTTGAAAAATTAGAGAGAGCATTGGTATGTAGTTATCCTCACTCTGGTAAAATGCTGGCCATTTTTTCAAAGCCAGGCGAAAACTTAAAAAAAAGGGCAAGTCCTCTTTTATCAGGGATGGATGGATGGGTGAACCACAGATGTTGATGGGCAAATCTTATATTCTGATGTCCTGTGACTGTCATATTCAGACATTTACAGCACCAGGACAATGTACACAACTGTAATTCCTTCCTTTCTATTCACTATCTGTGGGTGAAATAATGCAAAGGTGGTCTTTAAAAAATTTTTTAAATTCTGTGTGAAGTAGCAATAATTCTTTCTATAGCAATTCATGCAGAATTATTGCTGTCAAACAGCATTGTTCACAATAATGCTTTATCACTTACCACCATTGAAATTACTGCTGGTTTGTCCATTTTTTTTTTTTATTTAATGCTGATAGCATGTAACAAATGGAGTCCTGTTGTCAAGGTTACATTCTGTTTTAAAGATGCTCAGAGTATTAAGCATAATGGAGCTATGATCAATTGTGCATGGCCCTTGTTCCACTCAATAATATTGTGTGACTAGGAGCAGTGCTAATGCTTTTCCAGAATATTACAATTGGAACTGACTGATGTTAACTTCACTTTAGAGTAGTGCAATTGGGACTGACTGGTGTTGAAGCCAATCTCGAGTATTGTAATTGGGACTGTAAATCCACATCTGAACAGGAAAAGATGGAGTAATTGATATTTTGATCATAATAGGCATCTGCGAAAAAAAAATCTTGAACATTTATGAGCTATTGAATGGTGAGAATATGAAATTTGTTAGCACATTAAGTGACTCAGATAAATTGTATGGATGTTTTCAAGGAGGTGCTAGTTAAATGAATGAACAGAAGGATTCTTGATAAGATGGTATGGAAGTAAACAGAGTGGGACAAGATTCACATGGAGTGAAACTGCCTGTTTTGTTTTCTAAACCTCAAGCAGTACTAACAGGTTCATTGACAAAAACAACATTCTAATTTGCACATGATTATTTTTAAATTAAACAACATCTTCCAGATTAGTTTTAAGATGTAAACCCTGCAAAATCTAACAATGTTAGATTTTCTTAATATATTTATGGTAGAAAAGAATTTCCCCACAACTCAACATCATATTGTGTAGATACATTTGTCCAGCAACCATGAAGGATGAACCAGTTTAGGATTACCTTCGTGTAAGGTTAGTGATTAATCCAGATAACAATTGATGAGGATGCTAATGGTTTGAATTTTGCAGTAGTAATGTTGGCAAATCTGTCAGCTTTCTTCATCGTTACTGCATTGAAACTTACAACAAACTTGGAGTCCACACGTGTATAGGGTAACACAGAAATCCAGAAATCATTGTTAATGGTTCTATGCTTCTCCATGAAGTGAGCTGCTCAGCTGCCCCAGTGTATAATCCCTAAGCAATTGGTCCAAATGAAAAGCTCCACTTTTGAGATGTTAGCCTCTCTGTAAAAACCGAACAAAATTACGTAAAATACGAAAGAACTGCGGATGCTGTAAGTCAGCAACATCCGTCTTTTTTGCTCCCGACAAAATTACATTTTGGTCTGTGAGATGAGTTTTAAACAACCAAACAAACTTTGTAATTCTTACTAAATACCATCACCAGCCCTTTAAAGCCAATTTTAAATTTGTGGAATTACAAATTTTCAACAGAAAGAAAACAAGTTTTATAATAGTGACATTTAAACTTCTATCAAAATGTAATAATAATCATTTATTCTGCTGTCTAAACATTTGAAATTTTAAAAAAAAAAGTTTTAGCAAAGATTTATGGCTCGGGTTGTGGGTGAGGTTGCTGACTTGCTCACTGAGCTGGCTTGTTTTTGTTCAGATATTTCATCACCATACTAGGTGACATCATCAGTGAGGCCTCCAATGAAGCGATGTTGTTCTACTCTGCTTGGAATTTATACTGTCTGGTCTGTTATGGTGCCATATACAAACCAGAACAAAAACCGGAAATGACAGTACTCACCATAACAGACCAGACGTACAAATTCCAAGTGGAGTAAAACAACATCGCTTCATTGGAGGCCTCACTGATGATGTCACCTCACATGGTGATGAAATATCTGAACGAGAACAAGCCAGCTCGGCGAGCAAGTCAGCAACCTCATTTGAAATAAAAGTTGTGGTTTAGTGCTTTTAAATTCCTGGGTTTCTTTTGTGTGAGAATACATCTAAAGGATTGGCTGCCTCCTCTGTTTCTGACACTGCTGCTGCGTTCTTGGAGATTCCTTTGCCCTGAAGTCATGTTTAAATTGCCTTTGGAAAAAGGAAAGCCCACAATATAAGGAGTGGAAATTTGTTTCTTAGTGGTTAACCAATGTCTGGTGGCATTACTTTGTACTGAATGCAAAATCTAGCCCAATGTCGTTAACACAATGTCAGCAATTGGCATAATTGGAGTGTGCCAACATTCAAGAATTCACAGCCTATTGGCATCTATGTAAATCACTATTAAGTAGAATTTGCTTTTACTTTACATTATGGTCTTGGTCCTTGTTATCAACAATCCTTCACCCAACTGGCCAATAATTACTGAGCTGAACTTATTTCAAACCTTAAATGTGACTGTAGTATTGTGAAAAAGAAACAAGTACGGTGTCAAATACACAATCAACCAGAGGCTGAGAATGAAGTGAATATTTATAATTTATTATCCAGCAATACTAAGGCTGAACATATTCTTCACCTTTAACTCTGATCATTTTAACAGGATAGATAGACAGTAAAATGATGTGAAATTTTAGAGAAATGCTGTGGGAGATAATGAAGTGTGTGCTATAAACTTCAACTGAGTTGAAGTAATGAATAATTGTTCCCAGACACTTAAACAAAATTAAAGACTGCAACTGTATAAATGAAAATTTGGAATCCTATTTGTTCTGTCAATCTTGAAGTAAAACTGTATAAATTCAAATGATTTGTTTAGAAATGTCTTGTATAACAATTTCTGACTTTTGAAGTAGCATGGTTAAATTCAACAAACTTTAAGGCATAAACAATTTAGCAGATGTGTTTACTGAGGTACTAATAGTATGCTAATACATTTTTTTTATTTAAATATGTCGTTGGTGAAAAATTGCTAACTCCCAGATATCTGTTTCTTTATTGTATTTGTGCGACGACTTTATTACTTGTTGAAATTACTGCATTTTTTTCTTTATTAAATTAAAACTTTACAAACACTTGCTCTGAGAGCGTGACTTAATTTTACATTACAAACGTGCTGAGATGTAACAGTGATTCTAATTATGCATGAACTTGAAAGCAGGTACTGGTTGTGATTGGGTCTGCAAAACACGAGTATCAGATGTAAATGAGCAAATATTAGAATATCACCTGATACGACAAAGTCTGAAATCACTAAAAACATGGCATGACATTTACAGCATTACCTTGTGTAATAGATAACCTTGCAATGGCTTTTGCGCAACCTATGGCAAACATTTCATTATTGCTAAGTCCATGAATTCTGTCTATCAGACAGGAAGGAGACCACAGATTCTGAATAAAACCATACCGCACATAAGGCATTCTGTCCACAATATTGGCCAGACCTTTTTAATCATGAAAGTAATTGATATTATTATCATCCTCATTGCAGTTTCATTATCGGGTAAGCAAACAAATAGATTGAATCCAAATTCGAGAGATTACTTTTTTACGTTTCTCTTCAGGCATTTGTCAAAAAAAAGGTTCTGTTTTAAACGCTACTTGTATTTGAAAAAATGTGCAATGTTTTATTGTCTGTAACTATATAGAGATGTGCTCTTAAAGCTTGATGCTTTCTGTAAAGTTTGATTTTTCACAACGCAGGAAGATATTCAGTGTATATTCAATAGACGGGAGAATATTATGCATATAATCAATTTGCCATTGTGGAAATTACAACAATATTGGAATGTTAATGATTAAGATGTAATGAGAGTCTTCAATCAGCCAGTTGTGTTATGCGTTTGTTAAAATAATTATGAGAATGTGGTCAGCATTTGCCTGTTGCAAGTTAAAGCTTCATGTCACAGAATCACAGAATTGTTACAGGGCTGATGGGCTTTTTTTTTTCTGGCTTTCTAGCCAAGGATTTCTTGGCCTTTTACTTGTCAGCTTTATTCAACATGTCACTTAGTTTTTCATAGAAAAACCTAATTAATGTGATCATTACGAACTTTCTTAATCAGCTACTACTAAGTCAAAAGGCCTTCTCACGTAATTTTTTTTAATACTTTCTGCTTTTCAAGATTCTGCTGGTTCTTCACATTTCAAGAGAAACTTTGGAGGTTTTGTTTGCAGCAGTTGATATATTTCCATGGTATTTGGCTGCTACTGGAGCAGGCACAGTTGGAATTTGTACCAGGTTCTTCTTGTTCCAGCTTTTGCTGCATCAGAGGAATGTCCTAAGGAATGGTCACTGGACCCCAAAATTTTAACTCTGACTTCTCTTCACAGACCCTGCCAGGCCTGCTGAGCTTTTCCAACAATTTCTGTTTCTGTTTGAGCAGCATGTTGAAGTTTGTCAGGAGGGACTGAGGGTTGAGCAAAACCTATACCTAACATACCTAACCCTTCAAAGTGGGCCATCTCAGGTGAAGATGTTACTGGTAACATGAATACTCCTTTTACAGCATCGTCTAAACCCATGACCTCCACTATTTTGGAGGACAAGGGCAGCAGAGGCAGAGGAACACTACTACCTGTAAGTTCCTCTCCCAGCCACACATCATTCTGACTTGGAACATATCGCTGTTCCAGGATTTGACCCAGAAACGCTGAAGGAAGTCCCTTCCTATGTGCTGTATAGGTATACCGACCCCTGTGGACTGAGGCAGTTCAGGAAGGCAATTCAGCGCCACCAACTCAACAGCAATTAGGCATGAGCAAGAAATGCTGCTCCAGCGAGCTACACCTACATCTGATCAAAGAATAATATAAAGAACCGACTACCTGACACTGCAATATATTTTTTGAGGCAGGGCTTTTCTTCTGGAGGCTAGGCAAGAGAGCCATCAGTCAGGTAAAGCTGTAGCAAGTAAGTTTTTTTTTTTTTTTTTTTTTAAATCTCTTTTCTGGGACCAGGAATGTACTCTGCAGTTCAACAACAATGTCACCGTTTATAGCCTTGTGTCCAACAAGATACCTCAGTTGAGTTGATACAGACACAGCACCGAACCTTTCTGTGTAGTGTTGCTGGCCCATGCAATTCCAATGGGATCAAATGTATCACTAACAGGCTATTATTACAGTGGAGAAAAGAACCGACATATTTTCAGCCCCAGCGATCTGGTACACTGAACAAATAAACGGGGTGGCACGGTGGCACAGTGGTTAGCACTGCTGCCTCACAGCACCTGGGCCCTGGGTTCGATTCCAGCCTCTGGTGACTGTCTGTGTGGAGTTTGCACGTTCTCCCCGTGTCTGCGTGGGTTTCCTCCGGGTGCTCTGGTTTCCTCCCACAGTCCAAAGATGGATTGGCCAGGCTAAATTGCCCTAGTGTTCAGGGATGTGTAGATTAGGTGGGTTATGCAGGGATGGGTCTGGGTGGAATGCTCTGAGGGTTGGTGTGGACTTGTTGGGCTGAAGGGCCTCTTTCCACACTGTAGGGATTCTATGAAACTATCAACAGATTATTGATAAATTTGCATATGTTAAGCAATCAACAATTTGCAATCTGAATCTAAACTGATCATATACTTTGATAGCACAGACAGAAATTGTTACAACCCACTTTCACAAAAATAATTGTACTATTAAGGACTCATTGTCCACAAAGGACATAAACATCTCTTTCCATTAGACAGAGACAATTGGTTATACATAGCTAGAGCAGCGGAGACTGAAGGCAGACATAATTGAGATTTATAAAATTATTAGGGACATAGATGGAGTCAACAGGAAGGAATATTTCCCCTTGGTAGAGGGACCTGGGAGCATAAATTTAAGGCATGGGACAAGAGGCTCAAAGCGAATGTGAGGAAAATTTTTTCACACAGATCATGGTAGGAATCTCGAACTCACTGCCTTTAAAGCAGTAGAAGCAAAACCCTCATAACATTTAAGAAGTATTTAGACATGCACTTATGATGCCAAGGCATACAAGGCTACATGCCAAGTGATGGGAAATGGGGTTAGAATAGTTTGACTTGTGCAGACTCAATGGGCTGAAGCAAAATCAGAAATTGCTAGAAAATCTCAGCAGGTTTGGCAGCATCTGTGGAGAGAGCAGAGTTAATGTTTTGGTTCCACTGACCCTTCTTCAGAACTGTAGAGGATCTGAAGAAGGGTCACTGGACCTGAAATGTTGTCTCTACTTTCTCTCCGCTGATGCTGCCCGATTTGCTGAGTTTTTCCAGCAATTTCTGATTTTGCTTCTCACTTCCAGATTCCACTGTTCTTTTTTTTTTTACTTGTTTAATGGGCTAAAAGGTCTTTTCCCATGCTGTAGACCTCTATGACTCTATAAGGTGAGGAGGAAACAGGGCTGCTTGAACTGTACAGCCATTACAAGGATTGAACCTGCACTATTGACATTGTACTGGACCACATTATAGACACATGGCCAACTGAGCTAGCTAACATCTCTCTCCCTCCCATCACCCACCACCTCCAGCCCCTGCCCACCCCCACCCACCCCCACTGCCACTGAAACCTATAACTGAATCTTCCATGTGTACTGCAGCAAACTGCAGCAAAAAGAACAGGACTCCTTTCTGACGATATCTTTGCCAGTACATTTTGTTAAATTATTTGTTTCAGGGTGTTGGCAACGTCATAAATTTTGGATTCATCATCTAAGTGTAGGTGCCTTGAGAAATTTTCCTTATATCTGGCAGACCTCACAGTAATGATCCTCCCACAGTGGTGGTGTGTAGGATGTTCAAGTTATTGTCAACGTATGACCATATGTCCAAGGCAAGGTGGTGCATGGCCTGTTGTTTCCATGACTTTTCTTGTAGTTGTTATGGTGCAAAGAGGTATTATCAAACTCACTTGGTGAGCTGTTACAGAACAAGCTTCAAATAGTGCCCGTGTTACTGGTAGCAAATATGGATATTGAACTTAGTGATAGAGAAAGGCAAAGTCACTATAATCCCAAAAGGCTGCTTTCTCATCAGAGAGAGACAACTGGTGGTGGTTTAACCTGAAGGTCACCATGCCTCAAGCAAGCAGAGAGGTTAAAGAAGGATAGTCCTTCATGATAACCTGAGCCAGTGACACGAATTGAACCCACACTGTTGGAATTACTCTGCATTGAAAACCAGCTATCCAGCCAACTGATCTGACTGACCCCAAGCACTAAGCAAGTTATCTTTTCCCTAGAATGGGGGATTCCAAGACCAGGGGGCACGTTTTTAAGGTGAGAGGAGAAAGATTTTAAAAAGACAAGAGGGGCATTTCTTTTTACACAGAAGGTGTATCACATGTGGAATGAACTTCCTGAGGAAATGGGGGATGTGGGTACAATTACAACATTTAAAAGACATTTGGATAAGTGCATGAATAGGAAAGATTTGGAGGGATATGGGCCGGGAGTAGGCAGATGGGACTAGTTTAGTTTGGGATTATGGTCGGCATGGACTGGTTGGACCAAAGGGTCTGTTTCTGCGCTGCATGACTCTGACTCAATGACCCTATAATGTCAAGCTTCTCCAATGTTGTTGTGTGTGCACCCTTTTGAACAATTGATGACAATTCCATCATCTTCCTAGCAGTCCATAGAGTGCACAGAGGTCTTAAGGAGGTCAATAAGTGAACTACTCATTGTAATACACTCAGCCTTTGTCCTGTTTTGGTGGCCACTGTGTCGAAATGGATGGTATGGTTCCATTCTAGTCAGTTGTGTCAGTCAATGTCAGGGAGGTGGTCAGCACCTTCCTGATGAGTGAGCTCCATATATGGTGCAAATGTTGACCTGCTGCTCATTAAACCAAACATGAACGTTGCTGATGTGCAGCTTTAGGTACCACCAAGGGGTTGTGAATAAACTCTCCCACTCTATGATCACCAGAAACGAGACTCATTCCTGACCTTCTGAGAAAGAGAGAATCATTGATAAGCACAGTTGGGTCATAGATTCTTTCTTGGCAGTTCCACTGCGGGGGATGAGGTGATTGACACGGAGACCAAGAATAAGGAGAGAAAGATAGAGAGAAAGAAAGAAAGGGCCAAGAGAGAGCCTGAAAGCAGCAGCAACATAGTAGCAAGATCTACAATAATTAGTCTCTGATTAGCACAACCATTTTCTTGTGTCAGAATTAATTTTGGCCATCAGAGAATGTTTCTTTTTTTCCGTCATTGAGCTGAGTTTTCTAGTGAGCCCTTGGTACTATATTTGCTGTAATGCAGCCCTGATGCCAAGAACAGCTCCCTGAGTATTTAGCTCGTTTGTTGATGTTTAGTGTCTGGCAGTCACAAAGTCAAGAGCCATATATTCATGTGGCATTGTAGGCAGCCTTGTTACAGCTAACTTGTGAATGCATTCCAACTTTAAAGTGAAAACAGCCAATGAGTTAAAGAATTCACATGAAATTGGATGCTGATTGTTGGATTTTGTCAAGAGAGAGTTGAACTAGTTTTGTCTGGAGATCACCTCATAGGAATGACTAAGTTCTGTATGTAGTA